ATATATATATATATATATATATATATATATATATATATATATATATATATATATATATATATATATATATATATATATATATACGTAATGTCTCATGTTCTTGATGTCTCTATAATGTCTCATGTTCTTATATATAATTGCTTTAAAGGATTTTAAGTGGTTTTGCATACCGAATTTTAAAAGATGTTTTCCAGAGTCTTAAATTTGGGGGCCGTTGATGGTGCAAAGGTTTGCGAATTTGTTGGGATTTTTGTTTTGCATCGAATCTTACAGTTTTATGATAAAAGCAATTTCTGTATATATTGAGATGATGGATTAGCTATGTTTATGAACAAAAGTGTTCAGTAAATGGAGAGGATAAAGAAACATTTTGTACAAACTTTTAAAAATAACAATCTCTTAAATATAACTTGAAAATAATTAATTATCTTGATTGAACGCTAAACCTTAACGATGGCTTCTTTTAGCCATTCCGAAAACCAGATGATATACTGAATTGTATACAATATTTTGTTATGGGTGCGGTGGATTGTACAATGCGTTAAATTCCTTTGCTTAGCTAACTTTGTGCAAGGATGTTTAACAAGAATACTTTTTTTTACTTTCATGTTATATTATCTTGCATTCATTACTCAGCTTTGTTTTAATTTTCACATGCACAATTTTCATCTTTATTATTATTCAGAGAATATTTTTATATCCTTCTTTAAATGTTTACATATATGCCGCTTACATTTTTAAGGTTTTTGTGCAACTTTTTTTTTCGTTATTATATATTATTCAATTATTGTTTCGATTTTGGGTTTCAGGGGTTGCTTATTTTCCAAAACGTTTGATTGTTTATCAGATTTCGAATATGGTATCTATGACAGCGTTAGAGTTTATTTATAGCTATTGTTGTTTTGTTGATTAAAAATTTTTTAATGAGGTAAATTTTTTTTAATGAGATATACTGCTTTCTGATTATCTTGGGCTTGTTTATACTAATAATACCTATTTGGTTTAATTTCTTAAAATAAATTTATGAATACTTTGATGTTTCTATAAGAATTTTAATTTAATTTGTTTTCATGTTTTCTTTTGGTGCTATGGTAAGTGTTTTATTTAGTTATTTTTATTTTTTTCAGTAGATCTACACTTTTTATATCATGTCATCAAAAAAAATATTTGTGCTTTACAAATTCGGGGTTGGTTGGGTTTTGGCTATTTATAGTGAGTCCTTTTTTACTGCAGTATGGAATAGGCATAAGACGCAGGGTAAAGCATAAGTGGCAATGACCTTTGTCTGACGGGATAAACTAGTTATAAATGCTTCATTAAATTAATGCCTCATTAAATGCTGATCTTCATTGTTTACTTTTTATTTTGTGAATGATTTTTTGTTTTATAAGTTTTTGTCTGGTGATGTATTTGTTGTATATCTTCGCTAATATTGGTGTTTAAAAATTTTTTTAATTGTTATTATTGTTGAGTATTGTTTTGGGTGTATGGCCTGTCTTATTTATTTTTAAATATTCCTCTATTATTCTTTATTTTTGTCTTGACAACTGTCAAAATATGCTTTGTCTAATAAATAATTCTCCTTTATTCTAATGTACTTCATTTCTTCTCTCAGGCATTCACTGCTTGTGTGTGACCATTTGGCAAATTTTATATGATTGCAAATTTGATTGATTGTAGAAAAATTTGAATTCTAATCATCTACTAAGTGTAATAAAAAGTTTCTGACGATTGAATTAAGATTATGAGCAGCATTGTCAAGTAAACCCATTTTTAAAGAAAGAATTCTTCCTTATAAAAAAGCCTTAAAAAAATCAGGGTACAATTACAAAACTACATACAATCCAAGTATAAAATCAACAAACGGCAATCATAAACACAAGATAATTTGGTAAAATCCTCCTTTCAATGCAAATGTTGTAACAAAAATAGGTAAATGTTTTTTGAATCTCTTCGACCTCTGCTTTCCAGTTAACCAAAGACTTCATAAAATATTTAGTAGAAGCACAATCAAAATAAGTTCATGAATAATAAATTCATGCCAAACAAAAAAATCTATTATAAACTCTCGCAATAAAAGAATTTCCAATCAACAATTATTGTCTTTCCAACAATATTATTTATTAGGCCACCATTTATTCAAAAAATCCAAAATATAAAGAAAAAGTGTATTTGGACTCAGTCAAATATCTTTTAAAGTTCACCACTTAAAATCATTAAAAACATTATGCCAACCACAAACAATCTTTTAAACATAAAAAATACTCAAAAGAGACTATGCTGTCAAAATATATTTGGCAAATAAAAGAAAAAAAACATTAATTTTAAATTAAATTGGTCTATTCTAAAAACTGCGCCTGCCTATAATAACATTTCCAAAAAATGTATACTTTGTTTACAAGAAAAATTTGAAATAATTACTCATTTAGATCAAGAAAATTTACTGAATAAAAAATCTGAATTAATTTCTAAATGCAGACATGAAAATAAGTTCTTTTTAGAAAATTATTTAAAAAAATGACCTGTCTATAATTATCCTAACCTATCTAAAATTAATCTAAAGAATTCTTTTAATGATTTTTTAATTATCTAATGTAGTTGATGCAACTTCCTGGTTGCAAAAAATACCACAGTTATTGCATATTTAATTATAAAAATTCCCAACTTCTTGTGAAATAACTTTTCTATAATTTGAATCTTTTGATGTTAGACATTCTTCCTGATGAACCTACTGATGGAGAAATATGCTGTTGAAGAAACCAAAAATTAGATAAGTATTTTTACTAATTTATATATATATATATATATATATATATATATATATATATATATATATATATATATATATATATATATGCATAAATACATATATAAATGGAGCATTAGAAACACACAAATGACATCATAAAAAATAAAATTGTTTTGCAATTTGCTCTATGTCAAATTTTTTATGAAATGATAATCAAAAAGACAACAGTTTCAATATCCTACAACACAGTTGCAGATGAAGTTATGATTTTCTTGTTCAAGGTTAATATCTCTACTGTAGTAAAAAACAAATTTGTTGTAGAAAAACTCATTTAGTAGCTAAATTAAAGAGTATTTAAAAGCAGCAATAAAAATGTCCAAGTGTCACCACTATGATGAATACACTTTTTTACATTTTTCACGGTAAATGGGGTTGAATCAAGATAAATAAAGATAAAAAGTTCATGACAGACCAAAAAGCTCTCTGAAAGATATTAATAACATTTGACGATTCAATATATAAACAAGCAGTTTTTAAATTAAAAAAAAGGCTTAAAGAAAAAAGGCCCCAAAAACAGTATAAAAAAAGTTTTATCTACAGAACCGTTAACAGATTACAAAATCTTTGGATGAATATTCTGACTGTGATATGTCAATTCAAACACAAAAAGTATCCACTTGTCCAAATCTTTAACAACATTTGACTTTAGGCACTAGTCAACTATCAACTCTTTAATGCAGCATTAGCATAAGTAAAAACAATACAACATGACAAGCATTGATGATAATTGCATCAACCCTAGCTACAATTGATATTAATTTTAAAAAATTACCATTTTCTCACCTCATTAATGGAAGCTCAAACTACAAGCAGTAAACCTCTTGCAGTAGCAGTAAAAAAATACTTTTAAACCTTGGTTCAACTAGTTACTCATTTTGGTGGCAAAATATTGCCATATATTGATGAAGCCAGAAATGAATGTCTGCCAAATGTTTTATCTGGCTTGGACATTGAAAAATTATTAGCTACCTCTGAGATACCTGCTGCTACTGGTGCTATGGTGAGAGAGAAAGTAGTTAAGTTCATTCAAAAGTCGCCTAGCATTGAGGAGCATCTTGCAGGTCTTTTCTTCGACACTACTTCAAGTAATACAGGAGTTCATTTGGGGGCAATAACTGTCACACAGAATTCATTGAATTGAAGAGTTCTGTTTTTAACCTGCCTACACATTATTCTTCAAATCTGTTAAAATGCAGTATTTGAGGCATCTTATATATCAAAAGGACTTTTTATTAGACTGAAGTTCCAGTGAAAAAACACAGAGAGAAGAACCTGAAAGCAGGGTTGTTAGATATACGATACACAAACTTAACTTAAGGTAACAACGTTTGGGTTAGGGTTATATATATATATATATATATATATATATATATATATATATATATATATATATATATATATATACATATATATATATATATATATATATATATATATATATATATATATATATATATAATGTCAAATAAGGATGCTTTGAAAAAAATTGCAATGATTGAAGTTTGGAAACAGAAAAGCTCTAAAAATTCAGCCACAACTGCCCCAAGCATGAGAGCAACAAAATGATAAAATATTTTTTGAACTATCCTTAAATAAAATTGTATTCATCAATCTATATATATATATATATATATATATATATATATATATATATATATATATATATATATATATATATATATATATATATATATATATATATACATATATATATATATATATATATATATATATATATATAACCCTAATATATAATATAAATATATATATGTATATATATATATATATATACATATATATATATATATATATATATATATATATATATATATATATATATATATATATATATATACATACATATATATATATATATATATATATATATATATATATACATATATATATATATATATATATATATATATATATATATATTTATATTATATATTAGGGTTATATATATATATATATATATATATATGTTATATATATATATATATATATATATATATATATATATATATATATATATATATATATATATATATATATATACATATACATATATATATATATATATATATATATATATATATATATATATACATATACATATATATATATATATATATATATATATATATATATATATATATATATATATATATATATATATATAAATCTAAACCTGATTCACATCTCTGTCCAGTAAAGCCAGGAAAGCAGTCACATACAAATGTATCATTTCCTTCTTTGCAGACGCCATTTTTAAAACATGTATTATTGTTTACACACCACGATGATGCTATACAAAAATAAATATTCAATAAAGCTATGAGAAAATTTACACATAATGACAATTGTTATGTGTAAATTTTTCATATGATGACCAGTTCACACATTCGGATAAAATTATTTTATCCATATAATAACACATGTGGATAGAATTGTTTTGGTTATTTTTTAGAATGGTATGATACTTTTATGCATTACTTTAGTTAAAAATTTGGTGTAGCAGTCAACAAACAATGCATGCTGTGACACAAACTAGTCACAAATGAAACAAAAACACCCACAGTGTAGTTAGACTAGCCGCCACTATTCTTCTGCCACCGCCAATTTTGTTAGCAGCCAGTAATAGCCAGTTATTTTCAAATAGCCACAATTAGCCACTATTTAAATTCAAATCTAACTGCCACTGAAAATACGTTTAAAATATGGTTTACCCCTAACTTATCCTGCTTTTAAAAATAAATTAAAACATTTCATTCTATTTATTGAAAATATGATTTGTGTAAAATCTATAGTTTTGTTTATTTTAATACTATAGTCATGTATGTTAAATCCAAACTTAATTCAAAAATTAAAAAAAAAAAACTTTTTTTTATACTTTTGCGAGCTCTATTTGGTTCAATTTGTTACTTGATATAGTATTTGCCATCCCGCAACCTGTTTTCCAGAAAAATCTTATTTTTATTTTCAGTGTACATTTCTTCTTATTTAAATATGTTTTAATATGGAAAGATCAATAGATAATATAATCTTGAAAATTTATCTTAAAACTATTTAAAGATCAAATTGTGCAGCACCTAAAAAAAAGGGGTTTTTGCTTGCATGGAATTATTATTGAGAATTAATAAATGAAGAGAGTCAAAATTTAGATGAGAATACTTATAATTGCAAGCCATGTTTGGATAAAAGTCAAATTGGAGAATAAGAATCTTGTCTAAAATTTATTCAGTAAAACTTGAAAAACATGAAAAATCATTTGTTTTTAGTGCACAAAAATTGTCACTGAAAAAATCTCTACTGAAGAAAAAAATAACAATATATTATAAATATTGGTGCAACACTGCATTAATAGTAAAGTTTGATATAATTGTGAAATTGCATTTTGGTTTTGTACCAACTTGGTGTTGCTGAACGTAGTTAAAGAACCGGTTTTGTAAAACTTTTTAAAAAAAAGTTTGATACAGCCACTCCATTACGTTTATCATTGATATGCAACGCTTTAACTGATATGTTCAAAGTAGTCAAGACCAGTGTAAAGAATGTTATGGAATACTCAAATGCTGCTTCCTTATTTTTTGATGGTTGGATAGATAATTACAAAAGACTATTATTTATTGGTGTAAAGTGTTCAGTAATAACAAGTAAATGGCATAGAAAAATTTTCACTTTACCTTGTGCACCACTGGAAAATACACTGCAGAAAATATTGCAGATTTTATGAAGGATGTTATTAAAGATATGTTTATCAAACAGTATGAGGAGTTATGTTTGCATAATGTTCATGATGGTGCTGAAAACATGATGAAGACTTCTAGACTACGGGGTTGTGAAGAACCTCAACATCATTTAGCTCATGAGCTGAATTTACATTGGTTTCTGATGGTCTCAACAAATTTCCTGAAAACTTAATATTACCTAAGAAATGTGAACTTTGTGACATGTTTGAACTTTAAATCAATTTTCTTAATAATGAATTTTTGTGAACAAATGATGAGGTAGATCTTTACAATAAATTTAAAAAAATGGCAGAAGTAAACAAACTTGATAACCTTGACAAACAATTCCCAATTCAAGCAAATCAAGCAAGCCCAAATGACAATCCTATCATTTTGGATAGTGAAAATGAATGTTAAGAAAAAGTTTTTTTTGTAGAAAACTCAAGGTCAAAATCTAAACAACATAAAAGTTTAAAACTCTAAGTATGTAGTTATGATAGTGTTTTGATCAGCTTTATAATGGTCTAAAAAAACTTTCTAAAATACTAAAGAAAGAGAAATGTATCTCAATGAGTTTGAGCTACAATTACTAAGGGAACTTGTTAAGTTCCTGAAACCTTTTTAAAATTTGACAGAAGTTGTAAGTGGGAAGGGGGGAGGAACTCTTTCTCTATTCTGCCATTGGTCAAACATAAAATTGCATTGCTTCTCAAGGTGTATATTGATAATTTACCTGTGACATGTAAGGTAAATATGGCTTATAGCTCAAAATTAGAACAGTTTCTAAAACTTTCATAAACAGCTAAATTATCGTGTCTGTTAGATCCAGCAGTTAAGTTTATCTTTCCAAATAATGAAGCAATTAATATACTATTAGAGTCTTCATCAAGTTTTACAGAAAGTTTAAATTCACATGCAGCAGTTAACAATGCAAATTATAACAATGCCAGTGAATGATTGAAGGATAGTGAGCTAGAAATAAATAAAGTATGATATAAATAAAATAAAAATTATAAATATTAAAAAAACTAATTTAGTAAGTTATATGGCATGTTTAATTACTATAACTAGTTGCATAAATTTTAGAATTTAATTATTTAAATGTTTATATTGAACTATTTGCATGGTTGATTTACGTTAATTATATTGTAGAAAATTATCCTAATGTAAAGAAATTTAACAAATTAAAGCTGTGCTTCCTAAATATGATTAAAACAGACATAAAAGTTTGGCCAGGGAAGTTAATAATTATATATGATTAAAACAGACATCAAAGTTTGGCCAGGAAAGTTAATAATTATATTAATCTACTAACAGAAGAAGAAGAAAAAGATCCTGTAGAGTTTTGGAAAGATGATTATAAAAAGTCTTCCTATCTAGCATAATGCATTCCATCAAATAGTGTAGCAGTAGAATGTATGTTTTCCACTGCTGGAAAGGGTTCTCAAAAAAGTTTACAATACTCAACTAATATAAAAATGATTATTTTTAAACATGATAGTTTATTATTGTGACATAAATTTATTATTTGTAAATTGGTTGTGACATAAATTTATTATTTGTAAATTGGTTGTGACATAAATTTATTATTTGTAAATTGGTTGTGACATAAATTTATTATTTGTAAATTGGTTGTGACATAAATTTATTATTTGTAAATTGGTTGTGACATAAATTTATTATTTGTAAATTGGTTGTGACATAAATTTATTATTTGTAAATTGGTTGTGACATAAATTTATTATTTGTAAATTGGTTGTGACATAAATTTATTATTTGTAAATTGGTTGTGACATAAATTTATTATTTGTAAATTGGTTGTGACATAAATTTATTATTTGTAAATTGGTTGTGACATAAATTTATTACTTGTAAATTGGTTGTGACATAAATTTATTATTTGTAAATTGGTTGTGACATAAATTTATTATTTGTAAATTGGTTGTGACATAAATTTATTATTTGTAAATTGGTTGTGACATAAATTTATTATTTGTAAATTGGTTGTGACATAAATTTATTATTTGTAAATTGGTTGTGACATAAATTTATTATTTGTAAATTGGTTGTGACATAAATTTATTATTTGTAAATTGGTTGTGACATAAATTTATTATTTGTAAATTGGTTGTGACATAAATTTATTATTTGTAAATTGGTTGTGACATAAATTTATTATTTGTAAATTGGTTGTGACATAAATTTATTATTTGTAAATTGGTTGTGACATAAATTTATTACTTGTAAATTGGTTGTGACATAAATTTATTATTTGTAAATTGGTTGTGACATAAATTTATTATTTTTAAATTGGTTGTGACATAAATTTATTATTTGTAAATTGGTTGTGACATAAATTTATTATTTGTAAATTGGTTGTGACATAAATTTATTATTTGTAAATTGGTTGTGACATAAATTTATTATTTGTAAATTGGTTGTGACATAAATTTATTATTTGTAAATTGGTTGTGACATAAATTTATTATTTGTAAATTGGTTGTGACATAAATTTATTATTTGTAAATTGGTTGTGACATAAATTTATTATTTGTAAATTGGTTGTGACATAAATTTATTACTTGTAAATTGGTTGTGACATAAATTTATTATTTGTAATTTGGTTGTGACATAAATTTATTATTTGTAAATTGGTTGTGACATAAATTTATTATTTGTAAATTGGTTGTGACATAAATTTATTATTTGTAAATTGGTTGTGACATAAATTTATTATTTGTAAATTGGTTGTGACATAAATTTATTATTTGTAAATTGGTTGTGACATAAATTTATTATTTGTAAATTGGTTGTGACATAAATTTATTATTTGTAAATTGGTTGTGACATAAATTTATTATTTGTAAATTGGTTGTGACATAAATTTATTATTTGTAAATTGGTTGTGACATAAATTTATTACTTGTAAATTGGTTGTGACATAAATTTATTATTTGTAAATTGGTTGTGACATAAATTTATTATTTTTAAATTGGTTGTGACATAAATTTATTATTTGTAAATTGGTTGTGACATAAATTTATTATTTGTAAATTGGTTGTGACATAAATTTATTATTTGTAAATTGGTTGTGACATAAATTTATTATTTGTAAATTGGTTGTGACATAAATTTATTATTTTTAAATTGGTTGTGACATAAATTTATTATTTGTAAATTGGTTGTGACATAAATTTATTATTTGTAAATTGGTTGTGACATAAATTTATTATTTGTAAATTGGTTGTGACATAAATTTATTATTTGTAAATTGGTTGTGACATAAATTTATTATTTTTAATAGTGGCAAATAATACATAGTATTTTCTATATTCAGCCAGCTAGCTAGCTTCCTTTTTTATTAGCCAGCCGCCACTAGAATTAAAACTGGTTAGCTGTCCAGGCACTTGTATTAGCAAGCCAGGCATGTATCCTATTTACTAATTACTGGCAAGTCTAATTGTAGTTGACATAAACAATTTTACAGTGAGCCAAAGATAAACAATTTTACAGTGAGATATAGATCAGCATAAATACCAAAAAAAAATTTAAATTTTTTTTTGCAAAATTTTAATAAATATAAAACAAAAATATTAAATCAATTATTAGTTCTGATGCTTACAAGAGTCTCTGACGTAGACTTTAGATTTTTTTTCTCATCAATTTAAGAAAAACTGGATAAAAGTAACCAGACACAATGAGAGTTTAGAGTAATTATAAAATCTGGTTAAAAAAGACAAAAATACAAAAACTCTTTGCTTTTGAAATATGTACACAAGCACATACTTGATGACAATTACACTGAGAAACACAAGCACATACTTGATGACAATTACAATGAGAAACACAAGCACATACTTGATGACAATTACACTGAGAAACACAAGCACATACTTGATGACAATAGCCTCTGCTAATAATAATAATAATAATGGTAAAAAAAAAAAAAGGAATAATAATAAGAAAAAAGTAGAGAGAATATTAGAAAGAAAGTTAAATATAAAAAAAATTAGAAAAAAAAATAAATTTTCTTTTCTACAAACACCTATGATTTACTAATCAAATATCTAATTTGATTGGACCAAAAGTAAAAATACAACAACAAAGGGAGTAGGTTGAAAATTTATTTGATACAACTATAAAATTTTATGAACATTCAATTACAAATTTTACTTTAAACAAAATACTCCAATCAGTTGTCATTAAATATTTTAAGGCATACATGACAGAGATTTTCACAAAAACATTTTACTGCTCTTAATGTCTTAATGACTCTAAGAAGTCATTAATTTAAACCATTCAAACAAAAGATTTTTAGTTTAAACCATTCAAACAAAAGATTTTTAGATTAAACCATTAATAAAATATAATAACAAAATAATATGTTATAAAATCTGTGAGAAACATTTAGTTTTTAATTAAAAATGTCTTTGTGTTAAAAGTATGATAATAGGAGCCTAACATGATTACAAGGTTTCAAAAAAAACAAACTCCACAACAATTTTTTTTAAATGTTAATTAAAATTAAATATTAAAATTAATGATACATTCTAGAGTATAAATGTTACATTGGTTATATGTCATATGCAATTAGTTTAAAACAAATATGACTGATAACTTTTAAATAATAGTTGAATTTCTTGTTTTAGTTGTTGCAGTTTTGGTGATTTTAAGTTTGTTCTTTAAAAACAAATCTCTTAAAAAATTTTGATAGAAGTTTAAAAAAAAATTATTTTAAAATGTTTAAAAATGCTAATTTTTGTTTTAAACATTCATCTATTCATTAAAAGTAACTTTAAAATAAACAGTAAAGTAATAAAAACCATAAATAATAAACAAACGATAATATAGACATAAACACAAAATTAACAACAAATAACTAGCAAGTAAAGATAAACTTTTAAATATAAATGTGAATGAATGAAGTTACAAAATTTTATTTATTTATTCTGCAAACTCTAACTTTGTTAAACTCTTTCTGTTAGCAACCATTTAAAGAAATGTTTTATCTGAAAACCTGATGTTGAAATTTTGAATCATAATCTCTTTTATTTTATGATTTTAAAACATTTTAAAAAAAGCTCCACAAAAAAAATAGTATTGAATTAAATACAGACTTAATAAAAAAAAATAGTTATTTTTTCTTATTAAGTCTGTATTCAATATTTCATTTTTTTTAAATTGTACTTTTCTCTGTAATGCTCACAATAAATTTTAATATCCATAAACAATAAAAGTTGGTTGACAACTGGTTACCATAACAACCAGAAACAATAAAATTTGTTTAACAAATGGTTAAATATTTTTAATAATTTTAATGAATAGTAAACAAGTAGCAAAAAAATAAGGTAACATTAAAAAATTATTTTACATAAAAATAATAACATTTTTACCAATAAGATAAATAATTAAATTGAATTTCAGCTTACCTGAACAACAATCAATACCTTTCATACCATTTTTACATTTGCACATGTAACCATTGACCAAGTCAACACAATCAGAGTTGGAACAGCAATCATTTTTCAAGCATTCATTTATATCTAAATCGTGTGAGGCTTATATTATTTAATAATATAATCTAGTAGTTAAGCAATTGTTTTATATGCAGAAGATTTTAAACCAGGTACTAGATTGTTAAAATCTATGCTAAAGTATACTTGGTACTAGATTATTAAAGCTATGTTAAAGTGTACCAGGTAATAGATTGTTAAAAGTATCCTAAGTGCAACATCCTCTTTTGTCTACTTGATTCAGAATTAAAAAATTAGAGAGAGATAAGAAATACAGCATAAATATATAACAAAAATAATCAAAATATAAAACAAAAATAATTTTCTATTTACATAGAAAAATAAATAGAGAGATTTAACATTTAAGAAAAGAATATTAAAAGCTTTTATATTTTAGTAGCCTATTGGGTCTAAGGAGCCATATATCAAAATAGAGAAAAAAGGTTTTTATTTACAAAAATACATTTTATGCAATTTTTTCATGCTATAAAAAAATACACAAAAATTGTATAGTTACAACATAAAAAATAGCAGAAACCACATTTGTCATTATTTAATTCAAACAAAATATAATTTAGAACATAAACTAATAGCATAAACTAAATAAAACAGAGTAATATTTTACGGCATATAAATTGTAACATACAAGTTGTAACTAGTCTATCAAAAAGATTAGATACAACATGTATTCACTCATTTTATTATAAAAAAAAAATTGTATAGTAAAGCATATAATTACTAAACAATTTTTGTGCACCATATCAAAACTATGGTACACAAAAATTGTACAGTAATTAAATGCCCTGCAACTTATGCCTATCGAATAGGCATAAGCTGCAGGCTAAAGCATTAGAGACAATAACATAAGAGACAATTTATGTAACATGATAAACTAGTTATTATTCTATTCAAAAAGACACTAAAAATAAACGCTACTCAGAGGTTTATTACTAAAAATAAAATGTACCAAAATCCATATTTAAGGTTATTTACAGAAATACCTTAATGCCAACATGATTTGAATGTATATAGTACTTATTATATTATGCATTTTACAGTATCTACAACATGCAATCTACAATATGCAGAACCAGCTCTTTTGTCAGACTAAACAGCTGTATTGGTCACCACTATGCAATCATTGTGTTGCAATCATTGTGTTGCAATCATTGTATTGCAATCATTGTGCTGCAATTGTTGTGTTGCAATCATTGTGTTGCAATCTTTTGTGTTGGAAAAATATTAAATTTATTTACCTTTAATTACTATTGCTTAATTTAAATGCTTGCTAAAATATGGAAGAAAATATGATTATGAATGAAATGAACAAACATAGAGAAAAAAAATGGCAGTACTAAATATAATGCTAGATGCAAAAAAATAGTGTCAGATGGCAGTATTTTGGACAGAAAAAAAGATAGAGGTATCTCTTATGAGAGTTTACCATCACTCTTTCAAAAAAATATACTATCAATCTCTCAAGAGAGTAAACCATCACGCTCTAGCATGGAAAGTGGTGTGGAGTGTACAGTATGGAAAACAGTGTGGAGTGTATAGTATGGAGAGTGGTGGGAGTGTATAGTATGAAAAGTGGTGTGGAGTTAATAGAATGAAAAGTGGTGCAGAGTGTATAGTATGGAAAGTGATGTGGAGTGAATAGTATGGAAAGTGGAGTGTTTAAGAAAAGAGATTAAAGTTCTTTGTAAAACTCTTGAACAATCAATTTGAATCATTTTGCAAGTGGTCAACTTGCAAGAAATTTATTGCAAGATGATCCTAATATTGTTAATTTTGAGTATAAAAAATATAGTTAAGAATAATAATAATGAGTTTTGGTGAACTATAAAATTCAAAAAAATATTTGAAATTAAAAAGTTCTTTAGAGTAGATACAACCTGGATGTTACAATTTATGCCATAAAAGATTGCACTGTTTTATTTAATTTATACCATTATTTATTGATCTAAACTCTTTTTGTATTAGAATTAAATTATCACAAATATGCTATGTTTCTACTACGTTTAAGTTGTAAACATTATCATGTTTTGATTTTTCTTAATTTTTCTATTCATTATTCAAGTTTAAGAATAACAAGTTTTAGATAACAAAAACCTTTTATATATACATGTATACAACAGACATTTTTTTATATATACATTTTAAATATATGTATACAACAGACAATTAAAACGTTAATAATGAAAACAATAACAAGAGTAGTATTTAATTTTTAATGAATACAAGTGATTAATAGTGATTTGATGATATTGAAATTTGATAATATTGATGATTATAAGATGACTAGTGATTTGATGATATTGAAATAATAGAGTGCTTTTAAAATTTAAAGTTAAAATAATATTAGTTAAAGTTAAAAATAAATATTATATAAAAAAAACTTACCAGAGCATTATATAAAAACTTACCAGTCTCACAAGTGTGACCTGAGAAACCAGGTTGGCATACACAATAAAATCTTGAGTCAGTTTCTACTTCAAAGCAAGAGCCTCCATTATTACAAGGATTAAGAGAACATTCATTGATGTCTTAATAAAAAACTTGATATTAAAAAACTAAATAATATAAGAAAAATTATAACTGATAAAAAAATAGTACAAATTAGTTTTTACAATTTTTTATTTTAAAGAAATTTTGTTTCTGCTTTTAAAATTTCAAATAATGTCCAAATAGAGCTTAATGAAAAAAAACTTTCACTTCTAACCAAAAAGGAATTTAAATTTCTTTTACCAAAAAATGTGTTTTGAAAAGTTAATAGTCATAAATAACAACAAAAAATAATATATTAGGTAACGCTTTTATTTAATGTTTTTATCTTCGTCTTAAAATGATGAAAGGGTTCCACAGTTTACCAAGGTTTCACCACGAATCTTAGGATTTCTAAAATCTAAGTTTCTTTGATTTTGTTTATCTTAATTAAAAACTCTGAATTATGATCGGATGAATGAAACTTGAACTGTTCTGCAAGTAAAAATTTAACATTTTGGTAAAATGAGTTAGCAAGTTGATATATTAGTATATAAGTTAATTTATTTGTATATAGTTGATATATTAGTATATAAGTTATTTTATTTGTATATAGTTGATATATTAGTATATAAGTTATTTTATTTGTATATAGTTGATATATTAGTATATAAGTTAATTTATTTTTATATGGTATATATTGGTGTAGTGGCATATATCTAAATTTAAATAAAGGAAAGAATGAAAGTTAAACATTTAAAGATGTTTTTATCAGATTGTATCTGACTTGAAACTTATGAATGATTAAGACACACCAGAAAACAATAAAATATTTTGTACTTAAACTAGTAAAACACAACATAAAATCTGCATGAATTAAATTACCTAAATAAACTTAACTTACCTAAATAAACTAAATTAACTTACCTAAATAAACTTATTTAAAAAGGTTTGTAGTTTTTATTTGAGTTAACTTAAATTAACTTTAAATAAACTTAATTAAAAATATTTTATTTTGATGTTTTATTTGATGTTTCACTTAAGTGAACTTACAAAAATAAACTTAATTCAACATGTATTGTTAATGATAAATACTAACAAAGCTTACATTAACTTATAGAAGCAAATTTTATATAACTAGTTTTGCTAACAAATCTAGATAATGTTTTCTATGAAGATTCTTTTAAGTTAATTTACATGTGTCAATACCTTGTTTCACTTGTAATATACATTGCTTAAGTGAAACATAACAAATTTAATAAAATTAGATTAAAATTAGATTGATTTGATATATTATTCGATGTATATATTTGATATAATATTAATTCGATAACATTAGAACCATTGAAAAAATTACAAAAACAATAAGATAAACAAACATAATCACCTATTTGGCAATATTTTCCATCAAAACCTTTAGAACAGTTACATTGAAATGAATTTATTAAATCCACACAAACACCATGTTGACCACAAAGCCCCCATGATGTCAAATCCATTCCTTCTATAACATTAACATCTTTTCGAGGATCACAGTCATTGATATCTTTAAACATAAAAATAAATTTATAAGTGTACTACTAAATAGTCTTTTAGAAAAAGGTAGTAAGAAAATTAAAATAAAATTTAAAATTAAAAAAAGTGATTTAAAAAGTCTTAAATATTCTTTACTGAAAAAATATAATAAAAAGTATCGATAGTCCTTCTAATGATTTTCAATAAACGGAAATTTGTTATGGATGGATCTAAATTTTTAACTCAGTGTTATTTTTTTAAAATAGAATTCGTGTGGAACAACATTTTTTTTACAAAAATCACCTTGAAAAATATATACTTTTAAAGCCAGGGCTGTGGAGTCGGAGTTGCGGAATTGCGATAATTTTAGCGGAGTCAGAATCGCTAAAAAAAATGGCGACTCCGACTCCTATAGTAAAATTTCTTGGTATTGCACATGCAATTACAAAACATTCAATTAACCTTATGTTCATACTAAACCTCAAAGAACGTTTCATAAATTTGTCAAAAAAAAAAATTTAACTTATCGCATAATATTTTTTTAAAGAATCAAAAGAATTTTTCAAAAATTTTGTTTTGGAGTCGAAGTCGGATTTGTATACAAAAAATTTCAACAACTGGAGTCGGAGTCGTTACTTTTTTTTTACAACTCCACAACCCTGATTAAAGAGGAGAGATAAGGTTTATTCAAAAGTTTTAAAATCTTGTTCAGAGATGACAAAACCATTATTGAAAATACTTCAAAAATCACTTTAAAATGATATTCATTCGATAGTTTGGTTAATTTTCTCCGCAATTATATTACAAGTAAAACAAAATTATATAAAACATAGTAATTTAATTTTTAAAAACTATTAACCGATTTCTTAAATGTCAATAGTGTGCAAAGTAATAGAAAAAATAATGAGACAATACAAAGCTTAATTATTTCTCAGCAATATGGATTTGTAAATAATAAAAGTTATATAACAAATTTACTTGAAACACTTGACTTGATTAACAATGCACTGACAGAGGGGTTAAATATAGATGTTATTTTTATGGATTTTATAAAAGCTTTTGACTCAGTTGCAGATTTTTGGCTTTAGGTGAAACTAGAAGTAATCGGAATTTGTGATAAACTATCAAATTGGTGGAAAGGTTTTCTCAGCAATAAAACACACCTAATAGTTTTAGGAGAACATGTATCAAAATGGAAAAGTGTTATAAGTAGAGGATCTGTACTAGACCCCCTACTATTTCATTCATAAACAATTTTAAAAATACATTTAAAAAAGAAAAACTTTCTTTTGAATTTTATAACTGCTTTTTTTTATTTTACTCAAACTTTATGAATAAAGACAACATCTTTATATTATCATATATAATATTGTATAATTAAAAGAATGTTCATTAGATAAACTAGAGCTATATAGTATACATGTTACTGTTACCCGCAGTACCAGGAATTAGCTAAACGCTAATGTTTATACTACAATATAATATAACTTAAATTGCAACACTGAGTTTTATGTGTTACCACAATCTTCAGGTAATAAAAATTTAACTTTAATACAAGTAGCAAAAGGTTTTCTATTGTTAAAAGCACCAGCTTAATTTAAACAATTCAAAGAACATATGAATTTATATTCAAATGAAAATAAACAATTCAATCAGAAATTTGGATTGTTTGATGTATGCCTTACTTACTGGCACTAGCATCTCAATTAATTTATATTTTGTAACTTTTAACACTTCATAATTGGTACACTTTTAACAATACTTGTGTGCTTGAATATCTTTGTAAAATTGAAATTTTGTATTTACAAACTTAGCTGTTTTTTTTTGTGTTTTTTTGTGTGTTTTTTATTGTGTAGATTTTATGAATAATTTTCAAGCACAAGATAATGAGTTTCTTGTGATAAAAAATTGTGATAAAAAATTTTCTATTGAAAAAAAATAAGTCTAAATAATTTTGAGCATAAAAAACTTTTATTGAAATATTATTATGAGATGATTTGACATATGATATACTGTATATTATGAGATAATTAACCTGACATATGATATACTGGATATTGGATAAGATTGATATAATTTTTTAAATTATATTACGTTATTAACTAACCAGTAACTAAAAAAAATCATGATGGTTTAATTCCTAACTAACATATATACTTATTTTGTATAAAAACATGAAAATCCCATAGTTCCATGATCTGATATTTAAAATATGTCTGATATACATAAATATATGAATTATTGAAACTTCTATATGAATAGTTGATACATAGTTCAACAAAAAAAAAAACACTTTTCTGTTATATTAATTTTTACTCTTTAGGTTTAAATAGATTTTAAACACTTTTTACTTAAAATAACTTAGAAATTGAACGATATTGCTTACAACAGTTTAGCTAACCTTAAATGTAAAACTTATTTAAGGTGCAATATATACCATATTATTAAAAACAAGATAAAACTGTACTTTCATCACAGAGTGTTCCTGTAAATCCATCTTTACAATCACATTTAAATGAAGCTATTCCGTCAAAACACTTTCTTGAACCAACTTTAGAACATGGATCTGGCAAACAATCATTTATGTTGATACTACAGTTTTTACCAGAATATCCAACAGGACAAATGCAGATATAATCTTCTAACTGATTAATACAAGTTGCACCATTTAAACAATTATTTTCTGCACAGTGATTTATTTTTAAATCACAAAACCGCCCTAAAAATTCATTTATTCTACAAATTATTTTAATATATTTAACACCATTTACTTAAAATGAAAACTTACTGTTTGGTTCATTAAATATTTGATGGGTTTTTTATTGTTATGTTGTTACATTTGCTAAAAAAAAATGTTCAGTTTATCTTATTGTCTATTATAAGAAAATTTTTAACAGTTTTATGGCTTCTAGAATATTATATTTTCACAATTATATATGATATTTTATACCACCTTAAATCTTAAAAAATTTTAATTAAGGATGATTATATGCTGGCAAAACATGATTTGCAAATGTTAAAAAATAAAACTATCTTAATTTTTAAAGTAATCATACATTTTGAGCTACAAAGTTGTTTTACAAACATTATCATTACTTGAGTATATTAAATTTTTATTATATAAATTAGTGGAGTCATTTTTAAGCTCATGCATATTTTATGATTTTGATTAATAATGCAAAATGCAAGAAAAATCAATTTTATCAAAAAACAACAATATTAGTAGGCAACTAGGAGAGAGAAAAGATACTTGTATGTTAATATATCATATACTAAATTTTTTTACTTGTTGTAAAAAGTTTTTTTATTAAAAATAATTTAAACCTTTAAACCCAGGAAAACAGTTGCAAGAAAAATTATTAACAAGATCAACACATAATCCATTTTCACATGGAGATTTTGTGCACACCAAGTCAGTAACCTGACCAGAAGCACATGGAATAACACAGTCATTTATGTTTTGTGAACAAGTTCTACCAATCCATCCAGGATTACAAACACATGTGTAATCATTAATACCATCAATACAAGATGCATTATTTAAGCATTCTTTCTTGGCACAATCATCAATATTTATATTACACGTTGAACCTTCAAAACCATCTTTACATTTGCATTTATAGGAATTAATTTCATCAATACAAGTCCCATTGTTGCATATACCCAAGACACAATCATCAATATTAGTTTCACAATTTTTGCCACCAAACCCTGGTTTACAACTGCACTAAAAGAAAAACAACTTGAGTTACTAAAACTCTCATTAAATATTATATATAATCATAAAAGCAGCCCTAATTCTGTTCATACTAAAAGGTTTAGTATGAACAGAATTAGGAAAAATGAAGTCGACAATAATTTGTCGACCTCCGTCTTTTAGAGGTCAGCATCAAGTTGGCGAAGGTCTTACCATAAAATATAGAAACAAGGTCAACAATTTTTTGCCAACCTCAAACACTTTTAGATTGGCAGTTAGGTCGACATTGTTGAATGCCGAACCTAATTCTGAGGGTTGTAACAGTATACCATACATAATAGTATTAAAATAATCTTCATATAAAATGTATAAAGTGTAACTTCTATAAGTGTAACTTGTAAATGTAACTTCTATACATTTAATGCATGCTTTATAAATCTCTCTCACTTTCTCTTTTTCTCTATCTTTGTATATATATGTATATATATATATATATATATACATATATATATATATATATATATATATATATATATATATATATATATATATATATATATATATATATATATATATATATATATATATATATATATATATATATATATATACCATATTATATATATATATATATATATTTATATTTATATATATATATATATATATATATATATATATATATATATATATATATATATATATATATATATATATATATATATATATATATATATATATATATATATATATATATATATATATATATATATATACTTATATATATATATATATATATATATATATATATATATATATATATATATATATATATATATATATGAATAATGAAAAAGGTTTATATATATATATATACAATATATACATGTAAAAGATTTCTTATATTAAAACAAGTATATATAAAAAAATTCCTAAAAATTAACTATTTCATCATATTTTTCTAATTTTATAATTTCATAATTTATAACTCATGTTATATTTTAAAATGTTTAATGCTTCAAAGTTGTAAAATAAAATTTATATATTTTTGTAGAGTCAATGTTTCTTAATATATCTATATTAGGAAATATTCATTAAGATCAACTATTACTTTATTAATCTATGTAAATTTCAAAAAATTCATAACAATAATTTAACTAATAATATAAATGTTTACTAAAAGTAACTTACACCACCACTATTTTCAGTATCTTCGAAATTATTGTAAATCACAACTTGCAAAATCTTGTCTGTCAAAACTATATATCATTTATATTATATGATTATTATCTTAACTATACTGGTTCTCCTGGGTTTTTATGGTTTAATTATATTATGTGTTAGTTTGAAGGTTATTTAGTTTATTAGTTTATTAGCTCATTAGTTTAGTTATATTATGTGTGTTATTTTATGGTTTAATTATATGCATTGCGTTAGGATCCTAACTATACTGGTTGTCCTGGTATCACTAAAAGTGATCAACAATCTTGTAATGTTAATGATCAGGTTTATTTATAAAAAATTATTTTTATAAAGATATTAAAGCTGCCTAAATGTTATTGCATATTAAAATTTTAGTGCTAGTAAACTAATAAATTAAACAAAACAAAAAAAGATCAAAAGTTTTAACTTGCACTCAAGTCTTAATTTAAATAAATAATCAAAATAGGAAATTAACTTAAATGAAAATTGCCGCATAAAAAAGCTTAATATCTCCTACTTCTGTTCTTAAAATATTTTTTGTGTTGCATAATTTATGGATGATCTCTAGGCTAAAAAAACAGAAACTGGGTCTCCAGTAACAAAATTAGCTTTATAAAATTATTTAGTAAAAAATGATGTGTTTAATGATAAAACAATAATCATTATTAAACTCAGTATATTTGAAATTAAACTGCTTGTATATCATTTAATAATCATTGTATAATAATCATTTAATAATAACTATAATCAAATAATAATCAAATAATAATAATTATAATCAAATAATAATCATTATAATAATAATTATGATTGCTTTTATATCATTTAATAAATTATTCAAAAGTTGCCATTTCATTAATTCAACTTTTGCTATTATATTATCTTATTTTTGGAACAGTATTAGTACTTCATGCATAGTAAATCATGCATTGTATGAGTTTCTTACTAACTTAGTTATAAAGCAATAAAACAATTGTCAAATAAATAAAGAGTATAAATAATAAATAAAATTAATAACTAAAGTCAACCAAAAATAGAGTTTGAGCATGAGAACACTAAATTTTTAGAATGAAAAACCAAAGGCTATAATTTAAGAACATTAGAAAATATTACATTATTACATTTGTGCAACATAGTTCACCTATCATTTTTTAAATAGGATGTTTATTGATTTTGAAAAACGAACTTTTAAATGCTTTTTTTCTTAAACATGCAACATATAGTTGATGATGAGAAAAACACGATTTTTTTTATAAAATGTTTGACTTTTATTTTTATTAATTTTTATGGTATTTAATAATCAAACAGGAAACTGACAATTTTTCAGAACAAAAAAAAAAAATTAGAATCCGATAAAGCCAACTAAATCTGATTAACAAATACCCATTTATTTTAAATTTAAATTTAAAATAAATGGGTATTTAAATATTTTAAATTTAAAATGTAGGATATAAAAAGATTTGCTTTTAACAAATTGAGTCCATTTTATCAAATAGAAGACAAAGGGTTGTTCTTGAAGAAATTGCTTTTATGTGGCTTAGTGTTTCAAGTGGTGTACCACAAAGCGCTGTTATAGGACAAATTTGATTTTAATTTTTATCAATTATCTTCTAGATAAACCAAAAATAAATACAAGCTGTATACTGATAATTGCAAAGTATTCCAGATAATCTGTTATAACGGTTGTAATGACCTACAGCGTGACGAAGTTTTATTTTTAAATGGTGCAATGACTGGAGTATGTAACAGGACTTGTTTTAAAGTGTCAAATGGAGTGCCATTTATGTACGCATTTTAACGTAAAAGGTAAATCATTTCAGTCAAGCCACTTTAATTAATCCTTTTTTAATATTTAAACAAGTCTAAATATAATGTTTAAGCAAGGTAAGATAAAAGGGGTAATTAACATTATAAAAACCACTTATGAAGTTTGAATAATGATTACATAAAAAAGTTTGAATGACAACTACATTTGATATTAGTACAATTTGCAAGTATAATAATTTTGGAAAAAAAACAAAGAAAATTTTATTTTTATTAACTTAAATTTTGCATCAAATATGTTCAGCAAAAGAAAAAAAAAACAATATACCACACCTAAAAAAGGCAATCATAAAAGAAATATAACAAAAAAATTTTATTTACCATTGTGTAACCGCAAGAATATTTATTTAGACAATTTAGAAAATATAATTAACAAATTTTTTTAAGAAAACATAAAACATAGCAAAAGTTATTAGCTAAAAAATAGTACATATTAAATTTTATTATATATTAGTGCCACTTTTGATATTTTATTTTTTTTGTTTTTCTTTGTTTTATTATAATGATTGACTTTAACAAAAAAAAAAAAATTAGAATCTGATAAAGCCAACTAAATCTGATTAACAAATACCCATTTATCACCAGAAACAACTGTTTAAACCTAAACATCAACAAAATTATTTTGAAGAACAAAAACTTTTATTTGAATACCATTGCACAGCCAAATTTTACCCATCCATGGTAAAAATTCTATTCCCATTGTGTACTCTCGTTTTTTAGTTAATGCAAACATTTGCAACTATTGTCTATGGATAATTAAAAATGGTAGTTATGAGGTAGAAAAAAGAGTAGTTATGGGGTAGAAAAAAGAGTAGTTATGAGGTAGAAAAAAGAGTAGTTATGAGGTAGAAAAAAGAGTAGTTATGAGGTAGAAACCTTTAGCTATTCTTAGAGTATGAAGCTGAATGATGATGATAGTTATTTTTGAATGATTGGTGTTACGAAGTACAGAAAAGTAAAAAAAAGACACGCTTTTCAACATCAAGACATACTATCTTGAATAGCACCTGTGGATGTACAGATGCTGTAGTTAATGGTAAATCTGGATTTTGAATAATACTGCTCAAAACTTCACAAGGAAACATTTTTAAATTATAAATGGTTATTACATATAACCAAGTCAAATGTAAAAAAGGATCATAAAGGAAGGTTAATTAAACATCTTTCACTTTATATGGGAATATCTATTGTTAGTGTTTGTGTCATGTGTGTAATGATATCACAGATGATCTTGGGTTCTAAATGTGTGTAGATCTTGATAGCAAATATAATGATTTATATTACATATAATGATTATATTTAATGATTATAATAATGAATAGAAACTCTCTCACTGAGTTCTCTTCTTTACGTCTTCTTGGATTATCATTTACTACTGTCAATTGTTTCCTTGCTCTTTAACTCTGTTTTTTTTTCTAGTAACTTCCAACTTAATAGTGGTTCCAACATGATAGTGGTTGATTGCAGTCTTGTTGGAAGTGAATCAGAATAAAAAAAAATGAATATTTTAAAGTTCTTTTTGATGATATGCAGGTGTATTCTAATAATTTTATTGATTTTAATGTCTATGTGATTGTATAGTCAGACAAGAAGGAAGAAAGTATGTGTGGTCTTTATGTAGTTTCAAACTAATGTAGTGCTCTAGAAATGTTATCAACAATGATCTGCAACAAATGACCTTTGGGGTATCCATAAAGTATGTACGCAGTAAAACTCCTAACTTATGACTACTCTTTCCATCCCCACCTTTGTATACACCATGATGATTTAAACACCTTCTCCTCTCCATCTGCGTACATTCATATTATTATTTACAAATTTACCCCCAAACTTTTAGGTTTCAACATTTTTTTAGTAAATTGTGCAGTATTGATTTTTTTTTAAATCCTAAAATTTAATGTTTTTTTTTAAAAAAAAGAATCTGGTTTTTTGCAAAAAAAAATTAACATGCGCGCCTTTTTCGTATACGGGTCTAATAAGAGTATCTTGTATAAGTGGATCTTGTG